TAGCATGGTATTGGTACAAAAACAGACATACAGACCAATGGAACAGAGTAGAGAGCCCAGAAATGAACCCACAAACTTTTGGTCAACTCATCTTTGACAAAGGAGGCAAGAATATACAATGGAATAAAGACAGTCTCTTCAGCAAATGGTGTTGGGAAAACTGGACAGCAGCATGTAAAGCAGTGAAGCTAGAACACTCCCTTACACTGTACACAAAAATAAACTCAAAATGGATCAAAGACTTAAACATAAGATGATACAATAAACCGCCTAGAAGAAAATATAGGCAAAGCATTATCTGACATACATCTAAAAAATGTTCTCCTAGGGCAGTCCGCCCAAGCAATAGAAATAAAAGCAAGAATAAACAAATGGGACCTAATGAAATTTACAAGCTTCTGCACAGCAAAGGAAACCATAAGTAAAACAAAAAGACAACCTACGGAATGCGAGAAAATTTTTGCAAATGAAACCACCAAAGGCTTGATCTCCAGAATATATAAGCAGCTCATATGACTTAATAAGAAAAAAAAAACAACCCAGTCCAAAAATGGGCAGAAGACCTAAACAAGCAATCCTCCAAAGAAGACATACAAATGATCAATAGGCACATGAAAAAATGTTCAATATCACTAATCATCAGAGAAATGCAAATCAAAACTACAATGAGGTATCACCTCATACCAGTCAGAATGGCCATCATTCAAAAATCCACAAATGACAAATGCTGGAGAGGCTGTGGAGAAAGGGGAGCCCTTCTACACTGCTGGTGGGAATGCAGTTTGGTGCAGCCACTGGGGAAAACAGTATGGATATTCCTCAAAAGACTAGGAATAGACTTACCATAGGACCCAGGAATCCCACTCCTGGGCATATATCCAGAAGGAACCCTACTCCAAAATGACACCTGCACCCCAATGTTCATAGCAGCACTATTTACAAAAGCCAAGACATGGAAACAGCCTAAATGTCCATCAAGAGATGACTGGATAAAGAAAAAGCGGTATATTTATATGATGGAATACTACTCAGCCATAAAAACCGACAACATAACGCCATTTGCAGCAACATGGACGTTCCTGGAGAATGTCATTCTAAGTGAAGTAAGCCAGAAAGAGAAAGAAAAATATCATATGAGGTCGCTCATATTTTAGGAATCTAAAAATAAACAAACAAACAAAGCATAAATACAAAACAGAAATAGACTCATAGACATAGAATACAAACTTGTGGTTGCCAAGGGGGTGGAGGGTGGGAAGGGATAGACGGGATTTCAAAATTGTAGAACAGATCAACAAGATTATATTGTATAGCACAGGGAAATATACACAAGATCTAATGGTAGCTCACAAAGAAAAAAATGTGACAATGAATATATATATGTTCATGTATAACTGAAAAATTGTGCTCTACACTGGAATTTGACACAACATTGTAAAATGACTATAAATCAATAAAAAATGTTAAAAATTTTTTGAAAAAAATGGCATATTATTTACATATAACCTCTGGATATCCTCTCTTACACTTGAAATCATCTCAAGATTACTTATAATACTTAATACAACGTAAATGTTATACAGATAGTTGCCAGTGGGCAGCAAATTCAGGTTTCACTTTTGGGGACTTTCTGGAATTTTTTTCTCTGAATATTTTCAATTTGTGGTTGATTGAATCTGAGGATGCAGAAACCAGAACCCATGAGATACAGAGGGCTGACTGTACTCTGAGGAAGACAGGAGGCATTGAAGGGTTTTTCACAGAGGAGTAGCATGAGCTGATTTCAATTTCAGTGGAATCACTCCGGGTACTGTGTTGAGATTAGGCTGTAATAAGAGACATGGGTGAGAGTGGGGAAGGGTATCACAGTCACCCAGGTGCCAAAAATGGTGGCCTGGACCTGCTCAGGAAAAGTGGGGGTAATGAAAAGAGGTCAGATTCCAGACATATTTTTAAAGTGAAGCTAAAATAACTTACTGAAGGATCAGGTTTGAGGCAAGAGATCATCCCAGGATTAGTTTTGGACAAGACTGTCACTATCTAAAACAGGGTAAAGGAGGCAGTAGGAAGTCTGGCGTTGGTTTGAGGTATATTACATTCATGACATCTATCGGATATCCAGGTACAGTGCTAAGCTGGCAATCAGATACGTATTTATTTCCTTTTGTTGTGAAAGGATTGTCTACTTACGTCTCTTCCAATAAGATCTTTCCGGTTCTCAATGACACCCCAAGGAGGGATTCCAACTGTCCAGATTTTTCTAGAGGACTGGGAGGAATGGGCTTCCAGGGCATCCCCAACATGTTTGGACACACCTATGAACAACGGGTTTAGAAGTCAAACTTTAACTCACAAATCATGGCAAACACCACAGTTGTGCCGGAAAGAGACAAACAGACAAGTATATACAAAAAGCCATTATCAGGGAAAGTTGCAGGCACAGTGGAATTAATTTCTGATATCTACTCCCTCTTGACACCTCTTTCCTCTATCACTGACCTTTTTATCTGAACAATTCCCTTCTTCCTTTGGACAATTTCTACTTAAAACCTCAGTTCTTTCCCTATTCTTGCCTGACCAGAACATCCTCCAGGCCCACTCCTGACATCATAAATGTTCCAAGTATTTTTTTCTTTAGCCTCCTCTACTGCCCCAGCAAAACATCCTGAAGATTTGTCCCCTGCTTCATTGAGGCAAATTAGTTTAGCAGCTTTATATACACAAATATTCTAGAACTAATACATTAATGTTTGCCCTTCTGGGATGAATAGTAGTAGCAGTAGTAGTAGTAATAATAGCCAACATTTACTGCACTCTTACTACACACCAGGTGCTTTTTAAAGTGTTTAACATGCACTTACACTTTAGGTAGGATTTTTTTTAGTCTGTTTTGTAGGCAAAAATTGAAGCACAAAGAAGTTAAATCATTTGCCCAAGGTTATAGAGTCAGTAGTTTGTAGAGTTTGGATTCCAATCCAGGATATCTGACTCTTCTTCTTTAAATAGACTTTACTTTTTAGAGCAGTTTGAGATTCGCAGCAAAATTGAGCCAAAGGTGCAGAGATTTCCTGTGTACCCTCTTCCCCACACACTCACAGCCTCTTCCACTATCAACATCCCTCACCAAAGTGGAATATTTGTTATAGCTGATGAACCTGCATTGACACATCATAATCACCCAAAGTCCACAGTCTACACTGGAGGTCACTCTTGGTGTTGTACATCCAGTGGGTTTGGACAAATGTATAATAACATACATCTTCTATTACAGCATCATACAGAATAGTTCCTGCCCTAGAAATCCCCTGTGCTCTGTCTATTCACCTCCCATCCCCCCAAGTCCCTGACAACCACTGATCTTTTTATTGTCTCCATAGTTTTGCCTTTTCCAGAATGTCATATAGTTGGAATTATGCAATATGTAGCCTCTTGAGATTGCCTTAATCTGTCTTTTAATCACAACACTACACTATACCACTTACTCTTTCTATGCATAGTCTGACTTTGTATGTGTCATTAGCACAGGAAAAAAAAAAGCCCTGCATATTGCATGCATCTGATGCATAGCCCCTAAATTATTTCCCTATCTCTGGCATCTTCCCCTCCTGCTTGTCTTTTGTACTTTTCCCAGAGTCACTGTCTAGAACTGGGGTTCTGGACCACAGGCACACATCAATACCAATAGAGATGCAGCTTCCATAGGTCTGGCTTGGGTTACCAGCATGTGTTGGGGGTGGTGCTGGTCGTTTTTCAGCAGGCCACATGTGATCTTTACACATATTGTCTGCTGAGACTCTGCAAAGCCAGATCTGACCATATCATTCCCTATCCATTCTTCTATTCAGAATCCTTTGAAGGCTCCCTGCTACATAAAGAATAAAACCTCAGCCCAGTCAGCACGGCACCCAGTCTGGCTCCAGTCTCCCTTGCTGTCCCTGTCCTCTGCCACATGGCACATCCAGCCGGCAGCTTCATCACCTCTTCCTACACATGCCTTAATCTCCAGCTGTGTTCCTGGCCCTGAACTTCGACCTCTGCATAAAGTGCTTCTCCCCCACCTCCCTCAAGGTGAACACTGAGTGCTATATCCTTCACCAAGTCTTCTCAGGTGCCCTCAGTTGGAATTGGAATTTCTCTTCCTTTTCCTTTTACTCCAAAGATTTTCTTTGTATCTCAACTATGACCCATTCAGCATCAATTTTTAGTTTGTTGCTTACTGTCTGTTTGTCACAGTCACCCACCCATCACTAAACCCAGGGCCCATATCTTACTCATCTTTCATCCACAGCATCTATCCGAATGCTTTCTACACAGCAGATTCTTAAAGGCTTCTGGCATTCAATGTAAGTAAATGTCATCAATTCATGCCAAAATAATGTCCAACTACAGTTGAGAAGCATCTCAAGCCTGGGCTGGAGCTGGTAGGCAAAGTTTCTCAAATTTAAATGTACATAAGAATCACCTGGGGATGTTGTCAAAACGCAGACTCTGAGCCCACCAGTCTGGGGAGGGGCCTGAGATTGGCATTCCCAACAAGCTCCTAGGTAAGGCTGATGCTGCGGGTCCAGGGACCACTTCAGGCCCTAAGGAGCTGCGGTTGAATCAGGTCAGACCCCGACTATTATTTAAGGAAGCTCCAAGTATATCTCATTTCTCATTCCTTTTGTTCATGTGAAACTGTTTCAATAGTTTTCACACGATTTGTGTTTTCTAATTTGCCCTAACCTAAAGTGTTTAAAAAAAACAAAACAAGCAATAAGTAAAATAAAGCATGTAACATGGTTAGTTATTCAAAGAAAAAACCTTGCCCAAGTTCACCTTTTTCTGAACTCTACAAAACTTCCCTATCCGCCCTCTTTTTTTTACTAGTCACAAAATAAGCACTACACATTGGACTTAGAACCCTGCAACATCCACTTTCTTCCAAGAATGTGAAACGGTAATTATCTCAATGAAATGCACAGGAGGGACTGCCAGGTTACCCACTAGTGACAAGCCAAATCCCTTGGTTCTATTTTTGCTCTCTTTTCTCCATCACTTGCTTCCTTCCTTCCTTCCTTCCTTTTCAGTCAAAAGAAGTTACTTGTTACATTGGTATGTGTTGCTCAGTTCCTAGACTCCAGTGTGGGCCCTGGCCTCGACCTCCCATCAGGCAGAAGGGCTAATGCACAGACTCATCCTAAACTAATCTGTAAGGCAAAACATAAACATGCTACAAGGGCTGTAGGCAATAAATGCTACAGAAATTCAGAAACAGAAGTGAGTTGAGATAGAGAATGCTCCCTGGGTGCGTTGACATCTAATGTAGATCTTAAAGGATGGGCAGAACTTAACAGGAAGCATTGACTAGGACATCCCAAATCAAAAGAGGGAGAAGTAAAGGGAAGATAGAAAGCCACGGGTGTGATATTGTGATTTATAATAAGAAATATATATTTGGTCTTGGTCCTGTTAGTGACATAGAGCTCCTTAGAACCTTGGAATTTCCTAAGTGGTGAGAGTGACAAAGGTGTCTTTTGTTATTTGGGGCTTTCTGATGGGGGCTGGTTGTCAGCAGAACCAACCAACCAGGTGATTAGAGGGTTGGAACTTCCAGACCTAACCCCAACCTCTGGAGAGGGGAGAGAGACTCGAGATTCAGTTCAGTTATCAATGACCAATGATTTAAACAATTGTGCCCAAGTAATGAGGTCTCCATAAAAACAAAAAAACAGGGTTTGGGGAAGCTTCCAAATGGGTGAACACGTGGAAATATGAAGAGGGCGTGGAAGTTCTGCCCCCGTTCTCACATACCTTGCCCTACACATCTCTTCTACCTAGCTGTTCCTGAGTTACATCCTTTTATAATAAATGGGCAATCTAGAGAGAAAACTGAGTTCTGTGAGCTGCTCTAAGCAGATTAGTCCAACCCAAGAAGAGGGTGGTGGGAACGTCTGATTTATACCTAGCCAGTCAGAACCACAGGTAACAACCTGGTCTTGAGAGTGACATCTGAAGTGGGGACAGTCTTGTGGGACGGAGCCCTTAACCCTTGGAGTCTGACGCAACTTCCAGATAAATAGGATCAGAATTGAGTTGAATATAACACAGCTGGTGTTGCACAGTTCCTTGGTGTGGGAGAAGAACCCATGCCTTGGAATTGGTGTGAGAACCGAACAGGCTAGTAATAGATTGGTAAGAGAGGAGGGTTTGTGAAGTCGCTGGTTCTCAACCCTGGCTGCACATTGGACAGCCCTCAGAAGCTACATCTTGAAAAACTCTAATTAATCTGGGGAAGAGCCTGTGCATCTGTATTTATGCAAAGCTCTCAGATGATTCTCATGATGTGCATGCAAGGAGTAAGGTTCACAGGCCCCTCTATGAAGTTCTTGCATGTCAAATTTCAAGGAGGACGAAAGAGTCAGTGATAGAGACTGTGAGTGAAATGGCAGTTATGTAGCTGATTACCTCCTCATGCCCAATACACTCAATGCAACTGTTGCACGGGTCACTGACGGCCAACGACTGAGAACTTGACCATGGTGAGCTTAGTTCATGTCCATGCCCACACACTGCATACCTGCGTGGATCCCATGTCCTTCCTAACCTCACCATAGTCCAAAGCACACAAGAGACTATTTTCTTTGCAAGAGGGTTAGCCAAAGTTATGTCAACAGAGCGTATTTTAACAATGGTAAAAACACATTCCAGGAACGTCTATGATTATTCTGGGCTTCTTTTCCAGTCACTACACTTTCAGTCTTTCTCCCTTATGCCACCACATCCCCTGGGAGCACTGCAGAGCAGAGGTTAGGTGCCATACTGCCTGATTCACAGCTGAAAAGAAGGAATTTTAAAAAAAGAGTGAAACAGGGCATGTGCCTTACCGGTATTAATACCTTCAGTTATTATCCATGCTCCTGTTGTCTCTGCAGCTTTGACCAAACCCTGGCTGAAGATTTCTTTAAGTTTGGAGGGCATCTTGAAGTTCTGGATGCCCCCGTGGACAGAGATCACCAGCTTTGGCAGTTCCATCTTCCACTCTTGCAACATTAAATGTAATAGATGATCCAAATTTGTGTCATAAGACGTTCTAATATACTGGAAGACATGCATACACATAGGTACATAAAATAGTGAAAAATATATGCCAGGTCACAATAAGCACATGGCAGGACAACTGAAATGGCCAAAACTTGAAAGAAAGTATCTGGGATCTCTTTAAAAGTTCATCTTCGTATAATGAAAATATTTACTTTGAAAGGATCCCACACCCCCTTTAAGTTCCTTCTGGGAATTACAAGTCACAGTAGGAAGGCTTCCTCTGGTTTTCAGGGTTGATCCACCAATGTTCTCCAAAAGGTCTGAGGTGAGGCAGAAACATTCAAACTGGCAAAAATCATGACTCCAGCAAATCCATTTAAAAAAAAGGTTTTTAGAAATAAATTGAATGGGGTTTTTCATAAATGCTATGGCTTTTAATTAACTTGACCATTTCATATATTTGCATAATTTAAATTAAGATTTAGGAGCATGTACATTTATTTTAAATTTTACATGCTAACCATTTCCTGTATCTATCATTATCTCTCTAAAAGTGGGGTTTTTTTTCCCCCCAGAATAAGTGCTTTTCACAAAAGAGTCAATGTAATCAAAAGAAAAGATGAGGGAAATCCAAACATGCAGGTAACTCCAGAATCATTTTGCATTTTGCCCTTAATTATAGTGTATGACTGGCTTTCTTTTCCCAGCCCATGCGGCCACATACAGACTGTTAAAATCAAACTGAGATGAGTTTGAGCCAACCAACAGCACGAATAAGTCAGATTTACAGGAAGAAATAAGGGCTATAAGAAACCATGAATCATAAAACTACAGCAAAAACAACCACAGGCAGAGTTCTCCATAGATATGCAAATAGGAGTTATCACATTAGACTCTAGAATGTGATAGTGATTTAAAAACAATTGTCCATTCATCTTTGAAATTCTTTACACATAACCTCTTTATTTCCTAATTAAAATATCAGAATTTCTGAACATCAGGATGGTGCAGCCATCACAGAATGTAACAGAAAGAATCTAAGGGTGACTAGGATTCAGTTTACAAGCAAGGAAACGGAGTTGCCATGGCTTTACCACACAGTCAAACAGTAGGGAAAATATAAAGTTGACTTTTGTGAAATGGGCTGTGTTGCTCTGAATAATGAATTAGGGCAAAGGAGGCAGCTCTGGTCTAGTCCTTCTCTCCATCTCAGCTCTTTCCCCCAGGTAGCCCTCTCCTTCAATCCTAAATCCTTTCAGTCCTAGAAGATACTTCCTGAGATTTCAAGATAAACACCCTTGATGAACTACATTATCAGCACTAAAGTCTTTCTCCTCAAGGCCAACCAAAGATGGTGCTAAAGGTCGAAGAGTCTTTCTTTCCGTCCTCCTCCTTTATAACTAACTTACCTCTAACTGTTTGTGGAAGGAGATGGGAGAGATAAACAACTGGGAAGGGGAATGCAGTGGAGGGAGATGAATGGGCAGCTCTCTGAGCTCTCCTGCTGTCCATCCTAAACCTGAAGTGCAATTCCAGGCCCAAATACAAGGCTAGCAACTTCCCTTCTGAGACATCACACAAAATGCATTCAGGCACAGAGGATGTGACAGGAGCCTAATGCTAAGCATAAAATGTATTAGTGGTCAGGAGATCTGTCTAACCACATTTTCAGTTCTCCTAAATGTACCATACTCTCCCATGGCCTTCACACAAGCTATTATTCCTCGTGCCCTGAGCGGTCTCACCACTCTGCCTCAGCAGACACCAAATGCCTCGCTTCCTTGACACAAGCACACTGCCCCAGAAAAACAGGAGGAATTACTCTTCTCATTCCCTCAGAGAACCCTGTACTCCCCTTTCATAGCATCCCCACACTCTGTGGTGATTGTGTACTTATTTCCTGTTTCCCTCACTAGACTGTAAGCGATGTTAGTACACAGAACATCAGCTCTTTGGGGCATAGCAAAGCATGGGCATCCAATAAATACTTGTTGAATGGACAAAGGAAAATGAGTAAATGAAGGTGATTATGAATAAACATAAAAGCAAAAGGAAGAAGGTGAAAACTTAAGGGAAAAAATTACATAAAGAGTTCTGTAACAGTCAGCTTCCAAAAAGGATTGCAGAGGAGAAGGCGGACAATTTTCTTACCAACTTAAAAAAAACAAAACTCAATGCACAAAATTAAATGCAAGAGAATTAGTAGTCAGACATGTAGATTACTGTACAACTATATTATAAAACCTTACTATGATTACACTATTACGAACTGTTGTTTCAAATCCATTCAACTGATGACCACACTCCAGGATGCAGTTGATTCTGAGCTGTCCTGAGGTGGGCACCCCCTGCATTTTCCCCACGGAGAGCTGCCTCCAGTAAAGCAGTGGGTAGTTAACAAGCTCAAGAGAAAATAGCTGAGAGATGGCTGACCTGTCAAAACTATGTAAATCACAGGCAAAGTGGCCATATTAGGGACAGGAGAAAGCTGGCCTTCCAGTTGCAGGGCATACAGAAAGCACTTCCCCCTTTTCCTACCTGGGAAGAGGCTCTCACAAGGACACGGGAGGCATTAACATCCACTGGTTATTGCTATGGCCGTGCTTCACGTAAAGCCTGTTCCTTGGCGGTAACTTTCTACATTCCTTAAGAAAAGGGTAATCCTTTGGCAACTCCTTCAAGATCAATAAGCCATTCTCTTCTGCAGAGGGCATAAGCTGGCTGAAAGAGGCCAGTCAAATAAAGAGCTGGCCACACCACACCTGGGAAAGGTATACTGGCCTTCAGACATAAAGAGAAGAGTCAGGTCATTTTTATCAACAGGTCCATAACATGGATCACTTTTGCAATAAAACCTGGTCATCTGACCATCTACACTTAGAAATACAATGTGGAGGTTATATCCTGTTAAAAACCAACAAAATAATATGGGTTATTAGCAAACCTTGGAGTGGTGGGTGTGCTCTCCATCTTGGAAATTAATCGTGCCAAAGGTATCCGTAGGGCTTTTCACTGTGTGCTCCTCAATAGACCACTGTTCATTTTCACCGCCATCGGCAGCCGAGATGGGCCGGGCATAATCTATCCCATGATGGTCTCTAATCAGTCGCCCGCAGTAACACCTTCAATTTAGGACAAAAACCAATTTCAAAAAAGAAAACACACAATTTCAGAATAGAAAATAGATGTAGTGTTTCCACATGTTTCTAGCATAATGTATGGATGACACATATTAACAATTTTTAAAACTTCACATTGAGATTTATATCAGATTTCTAACACTGGATTAGTTTCTAAGTTGAAAAACACCCTCGGTGGTTTTCTCCCTTGGTTTCACATTAGAATAATTTTGGGGATGTTCGAAAAAAAAACAAAACTAAAAATCCCTTACACACTCATGTTCATAGCAACGTTATTCACAATAGCCGAGAGGCAGAATCAACCCGAGTATTCATCAACAGACAAATGGATGAACAAAATGTAGTAGATACATACAATGGGACTTTATTCATCTTTAAAAGGGAAGAAGATCCTGTGATCTGATGTAACATTGATGAACCCTGAGGACATTATGTTAAGTGAAATAAACCAGTTGTCAAAAGACAGATGCTAATGATTCCACTTATATGAGATACCCAGAGTAAACAAATCCACAGAGAAAGAAAGTACAATGGTCATTGCCAGGGATTGGGGATAAGGACTAATGGGAGTTTTTATTGAATGGACACAGAGTTTCAGTGTTCCAAGATATAAAAAATTCTGGAGATCCATTAAACAACAATGTGAATATATTTAACACTACTAAACGACACGCTTAAAAATGGATAAAATGGTAAAGGAAAAACATCAAATTGTATTATTTTGAATATGTGGTGTTTATGTTATGTGGATTATACCTCAACAAAGTTGTTTTTAAAAAAATAAACTCTAATATACAAGAATCTCCTTACTTAAGGAGAGTAAAAAAATGTCCTTGTGTAAAACACAAGATGCACATCAAAAGGAAGGAACGTTAATCAATGCAAAAAAAAAAAAGTGATGCAACTTCAGAGAAATATACAAGCACAGAACTGTTTTGAGTCTTACCTGATTAAATTCTGGCAGACTTGGCATCCTGCAGCACAGCTAAATTAAAGAAATAAAACCACTGTTAGTTTACTAATATATCTGAAAACATTTAATGCTTATTCAGTAAATATCTGTTACATTTTATATTCTGGAAATCAGGGTTTACTGAGTACGCATACATCAGTTCCCAAATATTCCCATATGTCATTTACCAAATATAATTACACTTCAGTAACTATGATCTAATTAACAGAACACTGTATCTGGAACCGAGATACCTGGATTCAAATCTCACTGATTTAACAATTCCTCTAAGCTCCAGTTTTCACATCTGAAAATAATATCTGACCCATACAGTTATTAAAAGGATTAAGGGTGATAATATATGTTAAGTGTCATACAGTACCTAGTACATTGCAGTATGCATAATAATGGTGACTATTATTATTATTACACCATGAAGATAACACAGAATTGTTGAGAATTAAGTAAGAAAAAGTATATATATACAAACAATTTTAAAACCCTGAAACACTATCAAATTAAGACATAGTTGGTACGCTTATAATTATTATCTTTATTAATCTTTCTTTTTCATAATTGAAAAAAGCCTTCTGGATTTGGGGGTTAGCATTACAGTCATCAGTGACCATATTTTAAGTGTGAAGAAGTTTTAACTAGGAGAGAATTCTAGTTAAAATAATGGGAGAAAAGTAGTATTCATAAAATCAGTCATTCTAAATTATTTAGAAGTGAATATTCAGGCCTTTCTCTTCTTCCTGCTCTAGTCTTTTAGAAATTTTTTCTCAGAAGCTTCATTTCAACAAGTTCAAAATGAGAAGGAAAAAGACTCTGAAATCAAGTCTATGAGATTTGTTTCTTATTAGAAGGTACAAAAAGAATCAATAAAAGATAAGCTTTTATCTAAATTTAAAATAGTGAACTATCACCCTTTTGCTGTGCACCATAAGGAAGAAAATGCCTAAAAGCTACAATTCTGAGAATCTTACCAGGATCTAAGAAAAAGGCTAGCATAGAAGGAGTAGGCATAGCCATCCATTAACTTTCTGTTACAATCACACAAAAGGAGAGACTGCTTTTTTCTCCATAAGATGTAGTACATCTTGTACCATTCATAGAATTACGGTCATTGATATTCTTCTTGAGTCTATGGGCCAATGACCTATAATTTATCTCTTTTCATGAGGTTCAAGGTGATTGTGAAGATGATTTTCCCTTTACAGAGCAGTAGGAGCTGCCTGGGCTCAATCTGCCTTCCACTGCAGCCACCATCATATGACAAAATGTCATAAAAGATGACGGGAAAAACCAAGGTTGCCCTGCCTTTTTATTCTGTAAATATTTTATACGCAGGTAAAATGAGGATTTCCAATCACAGGGCTTATAAGCCACAGGTAATCCAAAGAGGGCGGGACTAGTAAATATTTAACAAAGACAAAGAACACTATTTTAGTCATCCCCAAAGAACTAGGATTTCAGTAACCTCACTGTGCTACCCTTCATGAGCATACAGCTGTGATTTCTTAACTTCAAAGAATATAATGCTCAACAGAATCTAAAAATAGAGTGGTCCCTCTAATTAAAATACTGTTCTACTATTTTCTTTTCCTTTTAATTTCTTTTCTCCAACGGCAACGCTACCCAGTCTTAATTTCATGGATCTGATTACCCTGGGGAATTTTCCATAGCCCTCTCTTCCCCTATCTTTCACTGGCTGCTGTTCTGAACTTTGTTCTACAAGTAGAGCTTCCAAAGGGTTGTCAAGAACTCAGAGTAGTCAAACTCAAATCACTCCATTCTGCTGCCCATTACCTGCTCAAGCGAAAAGCCTGCGGAGGAAAAAATTAACTGCATAATCTGAGCATGGAGTCCTGGAAGATCCCAGTTACTATTTTCCACAGACCCTTTAGTTGGGTATAAGGGGCAGTCACAACATACTGAATATTCAGAAGTTGTACATTTTTTTATCCCAATCCAGGGGAATACATGTAGCACTAGATATTTCCCTGATATCCATCCATCCTCCCAATAGGAGTAACAGGAGCATCAACGATTAAAAAAAAAAACCAGCAAAATCTACCACAGTATTAACAGTGGCTCCATCAGGGTGATGTCATTATGATGAGCTTTTATACTTCATTAAGTAGACATGTTTTTCAGGTGCCTACTATATGGTAGGCACTGTCATAGGCACTGGACTTGAAGTGACAAAGTTTCTACTCTTACCAGAAGATCTGTATTTTTACAAAAGTGAAGAAACAAACCAATTAAAAATAAATGCTAACTTTACAGATACTCTCAAATCCTTGAAACAAGTCATACCGCTAAATTTCAATAAATAGTTCTCCAAGTACCGTTGCTTTAAAAAAATGTAATTAAAAATTGTACCTGTGAGGGTCTTTTGAGCTGGCTATGATTTTGTTACATTCTCTCTTGTGGAACACTCCTTCAATCCAGGATTTCTGGGACTGAATAGAAAATGTCATTATTTTTAGAGTCTAATTAAGTGAGAACACAGTGTAACAGTAGTTCAGGTAGGCAAGATATATTTAAATATAGTGGACAAAAATTGAAATTCCAAGACCAACCCCAAACAGACTAAGCATTTTTTTTTTTGGCTTCTATTACAGAAACATAGACACAAATAAGCCACTGCGAATACAAAAATATTTACAAAGTTAATTGGCCCATAATCTCATTTTAAGTGAAAGATCCCTAAATGCATAAAACTCTAGCAAGGAAGTAAGGATACAGCTGAGGTGTTACTCTTAACTGTGCCAAAAATCACTTTTAAATCCTGCACCATAATCCTATAGTGTGAATATCAAGCTCTCAAACTCCAAAATTCTCACTTAGAAGTCCCTCTTTGGCTAAGATTTGACGGGAAGCTGTAAAGAGTGTCAAAGATTTGACGGGAAGCTGTAAGGTGTGTCAAAGATGTAGTCTCAGCAAGATTCTGTGGAAGGAGTTCAACCTGAAACCAACCTGGAGGATAGACTCACGCATGCACCCTCAGGAGAACAGAACTTAGGAACTCAGAGACTGATTTCTTGTAAATGCCCGCTTCACAGACCAGCCCTGTTTCCTGACTAGTGACCATCCACCAAGAATCTCTCCCCATCCTCAAGACAGTGAATTCACTGCTTGGACTTTGGCTGGATGTCCCCCTCTTTGCACTCCGGGCCCATAAATACAGCCCACCCCTAACCCTTAACGGACTTTCCTGCAGCTTACTACAGCATGCACTTCCCAAACTGCCGCTCCTCTGCTATTCCTGAGTAAACTCAATCTCTGGTAATTCGAGCTTGCCTCAGTTTACCTCTTTACTTAGGTGGACAATTTGATACACAGTGTCTAAGAGCAGTTTACTAACGGCTGAATTTCAAAATATCTGAATTCACTGAATATTTTGGAATAGGCCTCCACGTGGCATGCAGGGAATTCTATAGCAAATAAGGCAAGTTTCTTATTCCGAAGGAACTTAGAATAAAAAGGAGGAAACAGATAATAGTTTGATGTCATTAAACTTCATGTATAACAGTTAGCTATTAAAAACAGCTCCAAAAAGGGTCCCTAATTTTGGAAACTATATATACAAATTAAGCAAGCCACCCCCATTTTTTTTTTTAAAGGCTAGATAGCTGACTCTAGCAGAACTATCTGGGCAAATTAATTTCTTTCTGCTTGTTTGCTCATCTATTAAGAATGGAGATAATAATAATAGTAATACCTCATTGGGCTACTGAAAGGAATAGATAAAGGCTTTCTCCCTGGTATTAAGGCTCAAAAAAGCTCAGCTATTATTGGTAATAGCAAAGGTAAGAATTATCTTTCGGTTGGTAGCCTGAGAACTTAGCTTTGATGTAGTTTTTCATAGGACAATACTTCCTGACCTCCAAATCTCCCTCCTCGGGCCTCTCATACTACAAAGGACTTTATGCGTCCGCTTTCCCCCACTAGGCTCCAGCTCCTACAAGCCCTATGCAAGTCATTTCTGCTGCCCCCGGGGCTCAGCCCAATGATTGTTGAATGAACAACAAAATGAACACACTTAAAATAGAACTTCAAGAACCCATGTACACAATTTTCCCTTGAAGGGTGTAAACAGGAAACCTGGGCCATAACAAGAACGTGAAAACTTTCCTCCTGCAACTCCCATACCGTTATCTCGAAATTACAGGAAAAGAAAAGCAGGCTTAATCTGCAAGTGTTTCGAACAATTCTCAATTTAGAACTTTACTTCCCCTCCCCCACCTCATAATAGTACCTTTTCTCTATACTTTTCAGCACACATGGAAGAAGCCCCCCGCCATGTTCAGTTCAACAGAGAACTATCAGGAACTAAATGTTTGTTGGTTCTGATTCACTAGCCCAAATCTACTGAGGGCAAACACCCAACATGCGGGCTTCTGCCACTTGGAGCAGCAAACTGTCTTTGACAGAAAGAACATGCCATTTCTGCAGCTATCATGGGAGTCTTTATAGGCTGGGTGTCTTTTATATACTGGGGGCGGGGGGATGTTTGTGTTTTAATTGCAGTTGTTATTTGGAGAAGGGAAAGGCAGAGGACAAAGAAGGGAAATAGTGTTGATCTCTGGCTCTACTGGCACAGTTTGTCTCACCCTAAAACACATTCCAATTTTACATACAATCCCAGGACTGGGGTCGGGGTGGGGAATAGAAAAGAATTGTCAAAAGACTAATCCTCTAACAGTAACTATATATGAATTAATTCCTGATGTCACTGAAAGTATTTCTACACTGGGGCTTTTTGGGTTTCCAGATAACAGATTCTCTCTTAGAGGAATCTCTGAGGAGGCATAGTCTTAGAGCCATTCCTTGATTTAAAAAAAAAAAAGTATTCTAAATGTGCATAGTTTGTTTTAACATCCAGGGGACTGTATGATTGGGGGGCTGAACGGCACACGGGTAACAAGTCATTTATTTTCTTTCTGTAAACTTTTTTTATTAAAAAAAATCTAACAGCTAAAAAGTACTTTTCCAGATGAAACTGACTACTTACTCCCTTTTTATATCCTCCACTGTATCTTATACACATCACAGCACTCACAATGCTTAAATGCATTAATGCATTTGTTTTTCTTTCTTAACAACTTTATCATAATCTACTTCAAGATAGGTGTTAGCTTTTTTATCTTGGAACCTGCAACATGCAGGGAAGCAACAGAATGAATCAAACAGAAAAGTAATATTTTCAGACTCCAGATCGATATTGGATATTTTCTGTACACAGGCCCTTCCTTGGAGCAGAGACCTCTTCAAACTGAGCACCAGGCAGAGGGATTTCCATAGCGCACAATCAGACAGCTGGGGAAATTCATCAGTGCAAAGCCAGCCCTTCCACCTGGAAGACTCAGCTCAGGGTCTCCCATGGGGTTTTGTCCACATTCTGCAGGGATACCTCATGAGACTTACTTTACCCAAGATTAAGAGTCTCAGGCAAAGGGCATCCAAACCTAAAATAACCCAAACCCAAGAATCTGGTTCACCAACACTGCCACAAGTTGACCTCACTGATTTTCCAGTAAATAATCTTTCCAGGAGGCAGCATTCAGGAGTACTTCATAAAGAATACAAAATAACCTCACATGTTTTCTTCCTTTTGGGTAGTAAGAGGTAAGCACTCCTTTGCTGCTAATACTTTTTTTTTTTTTTGGTAATATCTTTCAAAATGGAATCCCAACTAAATAACTCACAGTTCCCTAAAATGCCACTTCTCTTGTTTAGGTGAGAAATTTTGCTGATATTTTCACATACTGCCCTGCTGAGCAAAAGCATTTAGAACTTCAGAATGACTATCTAGATCACATAAATTCATAAGTACATGAGTAAAACATTCATGAATTCTCCACAGAGCCTAATGGGGAATTAGAACTCAGCAGTGAGCAGATCAGAAAGGTTCAAACCAAAATGATGTCCTACCCCGTCCTGCCCCTCCCCAAATTGGTGAAAGCCACAAACATAATTTCAAATAGCAAAGAGAAGACATTTTTTCCTCTGCTGTCACACATTCTTCAGCCTTATCCAGTATCCCGGGGAATTCAATTTGCAAACAAGATGTTTATACATTTCAGATCATGTGAAATCATTTTGATAAGAAGGGGAAAGGAAACGGAAGGTTCCTCTATGAGCGTCCTTTACAACTGCCCCCCGACCGCTCACAACAGTTTAGTGAATGCAGAAGCTATTTGGTGTAGAATCTCTCTAATCAATTAAGATTTTCAAGTTAGATACGCCCAATCTCCAGTTCCCACACAGCAAAGTGCACACAAGTGCGTTATCCGAGCACACAGATGGCCTGTATTTATGCTACAAATATCCTGTTAAATTATCCAGCTTTACTAGGACTACATCCAAGTGAGCTTACCTTTTCTTGGTGCGGGGGGCCACTCATGACCTGAGGGCTG